GACATTAATTGGTTGGACAGTTTAAATTTCAAACACTTCTCCCATCCACTTGACACTCGACTACAATGCATGTTTCAAACAACGTGTCAAAAATCAGTGTACAAATAGTAAAGTTCAATCGGTATGAACCTTGCTACATGTACACTTTGCTTTACACTTTACCACGTGACATTATTCTGTTGGACAGTTTAAATTTCAAACAATTTTCCCGTCCAATTGACACTTGACAACAATGCAAGTGTCAAAAAACATGTCAAAAATTAGTATACAGATAGCAAAGTTCAATCGGTAAGAACCTTGCTACATATAGACTATGGTCTACATTTTAGTATAGTCTTCGCCACGTGACTATGACCTATTGGAAGGTTTAAATTCCAAATGGGTTTTCCATCCAATTGACACTTGACAACAATGCAAGTGTCAAACAACGTATCAAAAATCAATGTACAATTAGCAAAGTTTAATAGGTAAGAACCTTACTACGTGTACACTATTGTATACACATTGGTTTACAGTTTGCCATGCGACATTCCCTTGTTCAACCGTTTAAATTCAAACAGTTTTCCCATCCAATTGAAACTTGACAACAATGCAATTGTCAAACAACGTGTCAAAAATCAGTGCACAAATAGTAAAGTTCAGTCGATAAGGACCTTGCTACATGTACACTATGGTGTACGCTTTAGTTTACACTTTTCCTTGTGAGATTACATTGCTGGACAGTTTAAATTTCAAACAATTTTCCCATCCAATTGACACTTGACAACAATGCAAGTGTCAAACAACATGACAAAAATTAGAGCACAAATAGCAAAGTTCAATCGGTAAGGACCTTGCTACCTGTAGACTATGGTGTACACTTTGCCACGTGACATTAACCGATTGGATAGTTTAAATTTCAAACACTTTTCCCATCCAATTGACACTTGACTGCAATGCAAGTTTCAAACAACGTATAAAAAATCAGTGTACAAATAGTAAAGTTCAATCGATATGAACCTTGCCACATAAACACTTTAGTTTACACATTGCCACGTGACATTACCATGTTGGACAGTTTAAATTTAAAATAGTTTTCCCATCCAATTGACACATGACAATAGTGAGTGTCAAACAACGTGTCAAAAATCAGTATACCGATAGCAAAGTTCAATCGGTAAAAACATTACGACATGGACACTATGGTGTACACTTTGTCGCGTGACATTACACTGTTAGACAGTTTAAATTTTAAACAATTTTGCCATCCAATTGACACTTGAGAACAATGCAAGTGTCAAGTAACGTGACAAAAATCAATGTACAAATAGCAAAGTTCAATCAGTAAGAACCCTTCGACATGGACACTATGGTGTACACTTTGCTGCGTGACATTACCCTATTGGACAATTTAAATTTCAAACAATTTTCCCAACCAATTGACACTTGACAACAATGCAAGTGTCAAACAAAGTATCAAAAATCAATTTGCAAATAACGAAGTTCAATCAGTAAGAACCTTGCGACAGATACACTATGGTGTACATTTTGCCACGTGACATTACCTTATTGGACAGTTTAAATTTAAAACAACTTTCTCATCCAATTGACACTTGACAATGTAAGTGTCAAACAACGTGATAAAAATCAATGTACAAAATAGCGAAGTTCAATCGGTATGAACCTTGCTACATATACACTTTTGTTTACACTTTACCACGTGACATTTACCCTATTGGACAGTTTAAGTTACAAACAGTTTTTCCATCCAATTGACACTTGACAGCAATGCAAGTGTCAAACAACGTGACAAAAATTAGTGTACAGATAGTAAAATTCAATCGGCATGAACCTTGCTACATGTACACTTTAGTTTACACTTTACCAAGTGACATGACCCTATTGGACAGTTTAAATTTCAAATTATTTTCCAATCCAATTGGCACTTGACAACAATGATAATGTTAAACAACGTGTCAAAAATCAGTGTACAAATAAAAAGTTCAATCGGTAAGAACCTTGCTAAATGTACACACTTTGCCATGTGACATTACCCTATTGGACAGTTTAAATTTCAAACAGTTTTCCCATCCAATTGACACTTGACAATAATGCAAGTGTTAAACAATATGTCAAAAATCAATGTACAAATACCAAACTTAAATGGGTAAGAAACATGCTACATGTACACTATGGTGAACACTTTAGTTTACACTTTTCCACGTGACATTACCCTGTTGGACAGTTTAAATTTCAAATAGTTTTCCCATCCAATTGACACTTGACAACAATGTAAGTGTTAAACAACGTGCCAAAAATTTGTGTACAAATTGCAAAGTTCAATCGATAAGGACTTTGCTACATGTACACTATGGTGTACACTTCACTTTACACTTTGCCACGTGACATTACCCTGTTGGACAGTTTGAATTTCAAACAATTTTTTCCATCCAATCGACGCTTGACAACAATGCAACTGTTAAACAATGTGTCAAAAATTAGTGTACAAATAGCAAAGTTCAATCGATAAGGACCTTGCTACATGTATACTATGGTGCACACTTTAGTATACACTTTGCCACGTGACATTGCCCTGTTGGATAGTTTAAATTTTAAACAATTTCCATCCAATTGACACTTGATAACAATGCAACTGTCAAACAACGTGTTAAAAATCAGTGTACAAATAACAAAGTTCAATTGATATGAACCTTGCTACTTGTACACTTTAGTTTACACTTTTCCACGTGACATTACCCTGTTGGACAGTTTAAATTTCAGACAGTTTTTCCATCAATTGACACTTGACAACAATGCAAGTGTCAAACAATGTGCCAAAAATCAGTTTGCAAATAGCAAAGTTCAATCGGTAAAAACCTTGTGACATGTACACTATGGTGTACACTTTGCCAAGTGACATTACCCTATTGGACAGTTTAAATTTCAGACAGTTTTTCCATCAATTGACACTTGACAACAATGTAAGTGTCAAACAGCGTAACAAAAATCAGTGTACAAATAACAAAGTTCAATTGATATGAACCTTGCTACTTGTACACTTTAGTTTACACGTTACCATGTGCCATTACCCTATTGGACAATTTAGAATTCAAATTGTTTTCCCATCCAATTGACCCTTGACAACAATGCAAGTGTCAAACAATGTGTCAAAAATCTGTGTATAAATAGAAAATCCCAATCGGTATGAACCTTGCTACATGTACACTTTAGTTTTCACTTTACCACGTGACATTACCCTATTGGATAGCCTAAATTCCAAATAGTTTTCCCATCCAATTGGCACTTGACAACAATGCAAATGATAAATAACGTGTCAAAAATCAGTGTACAAATAGTAAAGTTCAATCGGTAAGAACCTTGCTACACGTACACTATGGTGTGCACTCTAGCTTACACTTTGCCACTTAACATTACCTTGTTGGACTGTTAAAATTTCAAACAGTTTTTCCATCCAATTGACACTTGACAACAATGCAAGTGTAAAATAACGTGTAGAAAATCAGTGCACAAAGAGCAATGTTCAATCGGTAAGGCCCTTGCTACATGTAGACTATGGTGTACACTTTAGTTTACACATTTCCTCGTGACATTAACCGATTGGACAGTTTAAATTTAATATAGTTTTCCCATCTAATTGACCCTTGACAACAATGTAAGTGTCAAACAACGTGTCAAAAATCATTGTACAAATAGCAAAGTTCAATCAGTAAAAACCTTGCTACATGTACACACTTTGCCACGTGACATTAAACTGTTGGAATGTTTAAATTTCAAACAATTTACCCATCTAATTGACACTTGACAATAATGCATGTTTCAAACAACATGTTAAAAATCTGTGTACAAATGGCAAACTCAAATCGGTAAGAAACTTGCTACATGTACACTATGATATACACTTTAGTTTAGACTTTGCCATGTGACATTACCTTGTTGGACAGTTTAAATTTCAAATAATTTTCCCATCGAATTGACACTTGACGACAATGCAAGTGTCAAACAACGTGCTAAAAATCAGTGTACAAATAGCAAAGTTCAATCGGTAAGAACCTTGCGACATGGACACTATGGTGTACACTTTGCCGCATGACATTACCCTGTTGGACAGTTTAAATTTCAAATAGTTTTCCCATGCAATTGACACTTGACAACAATGCAAGTGTAAAACAACGTGAGAAAAATCAGTGTACGAATAGCAAAGTTCAATCGGTAAAAACTTAGGCGACGACAATGCTAATGCTAGTTCTAGTGGTGGCGAAGTTAATGTAGCAAACTTTGCACGAGAACTGCTTGCCATAATGTGGGAGTTGGGACAACAACAACAAGCACCACCTTTGACTGGGCAACAAACCCTAAATCAACAAGTACCATTTGATCATTAGGAGCCCAACCAACCAGCTATTCAACCTCAAATAGTACCTAACTCGAGGGATCGAACTACAATGATAGAGCAGTTTTGTAAAATGAACCTCCATCGTTCGAAGGGATTATGGATCCCTTAGCAGTTGAGGATTGGTTACAAGAACTAGAACGTATCTTTAAATTTATAAGATGCGAAGATGCTAAAAGGGTAATATTTTCAGTGTTTATGTTAAAGAAGGGGGCTAGCCATTAGTGGGACATGACTACCAGGTCATTAACACCTGCTGAAGAACAGGATATAACTTGGGTGAGGTTTAAGGAACTCGTAGAAGAAAAATTCTTCCTGACAGCTGTGAAAGATCAAACAGAGATGGAGTTCCTCAGACTCCAACAGGGAACCATGACCCTCGTGGAATATGAACGCAAATTTGAGGAATTATCAAGGTTTGCTCCACATCTAGTGGATACGGAGGAAAAGCGGGCTAGAAGATTTGAACGTGGGCTTCAACCTTATATTCATGACATAGTGTTAGTTCTTGAGCTGAGCACTTATCGAGAAGTCCTGAAGCGAGCCCAGACTATTTCTTATCAAAGAACTCAAAACGTTGGAAATTCTTACCAAGTTCAAAATTTCTCAGGTAAGAGGAAGTGGAATTTTGATAGACAGAATAACGATAAAGAAAAAGGGAATAATGCACCAAAGAAAGGAAAGGCGGAGATAGTAGGAGTTAGTGGTGATAAGCGTTGTCCTAAGTGCGATAGACCTCACAAAGGAGAATGTCTATTGGAAAAAAATGTTTGTTTCAAGTGTGGGAAATCAGGACATTTTGCTAAAGAATGCCCCCAGAATCAGACACAAAAGGCTGGAGATGACAAGAAAGGAAAAGCAAGAGTTTTCTCCTTATCCAGACAAGAAGCAGAACGAGACCCTAATGTCCTCGCAGGTATCATCTCTGTTTCCAATATGCCTGCATTTGTACTTCTAGATTCTGGAGCTACACATTCGTTCATTTCTTCTTCGTTTGTTGCAAAGTCTAAAGTGGAATGTGAATTCCTTCCATATACCTTAGAAATATCTCTTCCATCTGGAAAGATACTTGTCGCTAACCAAATAGCTAGAGATCTTAGAATAGAAATTGATGGTAGAGATATAGCGGTAGATCTAATTCCATTAACGATAAAAGACTTTGATGTTATCCTTGGTATGGACTGGTTGTCTAAAAACTAAGCAACAATTCATTGTACCGAGAGAATAGTGGTTTTTTGAAATTGGGTGACGAAGAGTTTTATTTTGTGGGAACTAAGGTAAATACCTCGTCTTGTATAATGTCAACAACTCAGGTTGAATGGACGCCAAGAAAGGAATTAGGTCAAAGACTTCTAGTATCGATGACCAATATTAAACAAAATAAGTTGTCAGTTGAGGATGTTCAAATAGTTGGGCACTATAAAGATGTTTTTCCAGAAGACCTTCTAGGTGTACCACCAGACAGGCAAGTAGAGTTTACCATCGATTTGGTACTAGGAGCAACACCTATTTCAAAGGCTCCATATCATATGGCACCGTTGGAACTGCAAGAGTTGAAGGTACAGTTGAAGGATCTTCTTGATAAGGGTTTCATTAGACCAAGTGTATCACCTTGGGGTGCACCTGTACTATTTGTGAAAAAGAAGGATGGAACTGTGAGGCTATGCATTAACTATCGAGAATTGAATCGCCTCACTATCAAAAACAAATATCCACTTCCAAGAATAGAAGATTTGTTTAACCAGCTTAAAGGGGCTACAGTATTTTCAAAGATTGATCTAAGATCAGGATATCACCAATTGAAAATTAAGTCAGATGATATCCCTAAGACGGCTTTTAGGACGCGTTATGGTCATTATGAATTTTTGGTAATGCCTTTTGGATTAACTAATGCCCTGGCAATATTTATGGATCTAATGAACAGAGTATTCCATGAATACTTAGACCAATTTGTTATAGTTTTCATTGATGACATCTTAATCTATTCAAAGATTAATGAGGAACACGAGAAACATCTCATGATTGTCTTGGAAACTCTAAGAAAAGAGAAGCTTTATGCCAAATTCAAGAAATGTGAATTCTGGTTGGATAAAATAGGTTTTCTGGGGCATGTAATCACAGCACGAGGAATTGAAGTAGACCCAACTAAAGTGGAAGCAGTAAATAATTGGGTAAGACCTACCAGTGTTAGAGAAATATGTAGCTTCTTGGGATTGGCTGGTTTCTATAGAAGATTTATCAAGGGATTTTCTAAAATAGCAGGACCATTGACCCAGTTGACTCGAAAAGAGATAAAATTTCAATGGACAGACAAATGTGAATAGAGCTTCCAAGAGTTGAAATGAAGATTAGTCACAACTCCAGTGTTAACAATACCTGATGGACCAAAAGGATTCGTTATATACAGTGATGCTTTGAAACAGGGCATAGGATGTTTTCTAATGCAGAAAGGAAAGGTGATAGCATACGCTTCTAGACAATTGAAACAATATGAACAAAACTACCCAACCCATGATCTAGAATTGGCTGCGATAGTTCATGCCCTCAAGATATGGCATCATTACTTATATGGAAATAAGTGTGACATTTATACTGATCATAAGAGTTTGAAGTACTTTTTCACCCAAAAGAAATTAAATATGAGGAAGAGGAGATGGCTAGAGCTAGTAAAGGATTATGATTGCACTATCCTTTACCATCCTGGTAAAGCTAATGTAGTAGCAGATGCTCTTAGCAGAAAGGCGGTTGGGCAATTAGCAGTACTAATCACTATGCAGGACTAATTGTTAAAGGATTTCGAAAACTTACATCTAGAAGTAATTGTTCCACCAACCCAAACTATGTAAGGAGTATGTTTTGGTGGAGAAATATGAAACAGTGCATAGGTCTTTTTGTCAAGAGGTGCATGACTTGTCAACAAGTGAAAGCTGAACATCAAAGGCCATTTGGGCCGTTGGAACCATTAACAATTCCACAATGGAAATGGGAGCATATAACTATGGATTTTGTTATGGGTTTTCCAAAATCAGCTAAGGGAAATGATGCTATGTGGGTTATAGTGGATCGGTTAACAAAGTCAGATCATTTTCTACCTGTAAGAATGAATTTTATTACGAATCAATACGCGCGATTATACATCAAAGAGGTCATCCGTTTGCATGGTATCCCAGCCTAAATTGTATCGGATAGAGATCAAAGATTTACCTCAAAATTTTGGAAAAGTTTGCAAGAAGCTATGGGAACCAAGTTAAACTTCAGCACAGCTTTTCATCCGCAAACTGATGGGCAATCGGAGAGGACTATACAGACTCTGGAAGATATGCTGCGTGCATGTGTCCTTGATTTAGGGGGCAGTTGAGAAAGTTATGTACCACTAGTAGAATTTGCCTATAATAATAGCTATCAAGCTACGATAAAGATGGTACCTTGCGAAGCTCTTTATGGCAGAAGATGTAGAGCTCCCCTCTATTGGGATGAAGTAGGTGAACGAAGAGTTTTAGGACCCAAAATAATTAAGGAAACTAGTCGAGCGGTTGATAAAATAAGAGCTAGAATCAAGGTAGCCCAGGATCGACAAAAAAGTTATGCCGATAAAAGGAGAAAGATTTGGCATTAATGTTGGTGATAAAGTTTTCTTAAAAGTGGCACCGATAAAGGGAGTTCTTCGCTTTGGAAAGAAGGGAAAACTTCAACCAAGATTCATAGGTCCTTTTGAAATTTTGCAGAAAGTTGGAAATGCAGCCTATCGAATCGCTCTACCACCAGATTTGTCAGGAATTCATGATGTGTTCCACGTGTCAATGCTTCGACAATATGTGTCAGATCAAAGTCATGTGGTTAGTTATCAACCATTGGATATCAAAAGAAACATGACTTATGAGGAAAAACCAGTAGCAATATTGGATCGCAGAATCCAACAACTGAGGACAAAGGAAATTCCATTAGTGAGAGTTCAGTGGAGAAACCATAATGTCGAAGAGTTAACTTGGGAAAGAGAAGAGGAAATCAAGATTAAGTATCCATAACTTTTCAACTAAGTTCAAGGTAATTTCGAGGACGAAATTTTTATGAGGAAGGATGTAATACTCCGAATTTTGTGCTCATTTAATTTTTAGAATAGCAATTTAACTTTTCAAAATTTAGTATGACCAAAAAATTATTTATGGTTGCCAACTTTTGCATTGGTTGATTTATTAAAAGTTTTCCAAATAATTTGTTAATTAGGTGTTTGGGATAAATGTCCATTTTACACCTAATTACTAAAGTTAAACATTGTTTCTCAAACTTGGCTGAAAAATTGATGAAACATATATGCATCAGGTGTTTTAAATTTAAGCATGAGGTGACTAACTAATGCATGAGGTGTTTTAAATTTAAGAAAGTGAACCCATGCAGCATACACATGTTGAATTTCTTGAAGAGTCACCCAAAATTTATCATTTTTCTCACCTATAAATAGATGTGTTTCTGCCCTTTATTTCCTTTGCATGAAAAATAACTTAACACTTGTTTAAAAAAAGGGCAGAAAACGTGAGGGAAGAAGAGGACCAGCCTAGCATTCTCAATTCATTTTCAACCAAGATTTCTTCAAGTTTTATTGTAAGATACTTTCTATGCTTAAGTGGTAGGATTTCATGGTAATATTTATGCTTATGTTATGCATGAAAACAATAATATGAAAGACGTGGACAAGTCCACAAAGTTAGATTTCTATTTATGCCTTAGGACAAGTCCGAAGGGCACCGGCAAGCCGGAATGTGCAAGTATGTGTTTGATTGCATTCTTTTGTGTAGTTTTAACACGTTAAAATCCAAGCATGGTATCTTAATAAGTATTCTTTATTCTCATAGTGTTCTATACTAAATTCTCTGATTCATAATTGCGGAGTTGGTGGAAGTCAGTCGACATAATCGATGATGGGTTAGGGACAAGGTCGTTTTGCATCGAAGTTTTGTTTTTGCATGTTTTGATTGACTGCTTTCCATATGTTTTCTTATGGTATTGTATAAAAACATGTATGAAACATGATGTAATATGGTACCGGAAGTAAATTATGTAATTATATCTTCTATGTTGTGTTAAGAGACCTTTTTTTTAAAAACTTCTCCTTGCAAGTGACAAAAGGCAGAAACGGGACAGTTTTTGGGTAAATTTCAACACATTATTTTTGACTCCATAAACGTCCATTTCAGACCCTGAAAATATTAATGCATTCCTCATTGAGTTGTCTTAATATGGGCATAAGAATCACTCAATTTGGATATCTGTAGCCTGAGATATGAATTTTTAAACATTGAAGGGTTAAATCTGAAATTTCTGTGCAATACCTCACTGTTTTCAGTAAAACGCCCATATTATATGATCTTGGAAATTTTTTATATTTTAACCTAGAAAACTACTTGAAAATATCTTTCTAATGTCATAAATTTCATTGAAAATGGAGTTGGGATAAATTTTATAAAAATAGTCGAACTTGCTACCCCAACTAACCGTGGCAGTGCAGAGTCCGTTTATGTAAAGTATAATTTCTTGTCGACATGCGCTTCTGCGGGCCATTAAAAATTTATGGGAGACATTTTACCAAGTTAAAAATAAGTTTCTAACATGAAATACTTCTATTTAAGAGTATTTACATGTACCAAAGGCACAAGCTATTATGTTTTGTACGTGACACTCGAAACTTAAGTTCGGGGCATCACAACGTGACATTACCATGTTCGACCATTTAAATTTTAAACAGTTTTCCCATGCAATTGACACTTAACAACAATACAATTGTCAAACTACGTGACAAAAATTAGTGTACGAATAGCAAAGTTCGATCGGTAAGAACCTTGTGAAATGGACACTATTGTGTACACATTGCCTCGTGACATTACCCTGTTGGGCAGTTTAAATTTCAAATAATTTTCCCATCCAATTGGCACTAAACAGCAATGCAAATGTTAAACAATGTGTCAAAAATCAGTGTACAAGTAGCAAAGTTCAATCGGTAAGATCCTTGCTACATGTACACACTTTGCCATGTGACATTACCCTGTTGAGCAGTTTAAATTTCAAACAGTTTTCCCATCCAATTGACACTTGACAACAATGCAACTATCAAACAACGTGTCAAAAATCAGTGCACAAATAGCAAAGTTCAATCGATAAGGGCCTTGCTACAGGTATACTATGGTGTACACTTTAGTTTAAACTTTACCACGTGACTTTACCCGATTGGAAAGTTTAAATTTTAAACATTTTTCCCATCCAATTGACACTTCACAACAATGCAAGTGCCAAAGAACGTGTCAAAAATCCGTGTACAAATAGCAAAGTTCTATCGGTAAGGACCTTGCAACATATACACTATGGTGTACACATTAGTTTACACTTTACCATGTGACATTACCCTATTGGATAGTTTAGATTTCAAATAGTTTTCCCATACAATTGACACTTGATGACACTGCAAGCATCAAACAACGTGTCAAAAATCAGTATACAATTAACAAAGTTCAATCGGTAAGGACCTTTCTTCATGTAAACTATGGTGTACACCTTAGTTTAGACTTTG